TTGGAAGCATATTTCCAAATTTCCACTTCATGGTAAATTACTGGTGATGTATTTGTCACTGATTTCTAGTTTGAACCACTTTTGTTCAACAACCTGCTGTGAAGGATTCCAGTCTCTGGTTGTGTTAAGAATGGTGCAACCCCTGTGGAAAGCAGTGTGGAGATTCCTCAGTAAAGTAGGACTAGAGATCCCATTCAACCCAACTCTTCCCCTGCTGGGTATTTTGCCAGAAGAACGGAAAACATCATCTACAGCGATATATGTGCACCCATGTTTATAGCAGCACAATTTGTAATAGCTAAATCTTGGAAACAACTCAAATGTCCACCAGCTGGGGAATGGATAAAAAGATGTGGGGTTTATTGTTTGTTTTGTTTTTCTTCTGGTACCAGGAATCGAACTCACAACCTTGCGCTTGCCAGGCAGGCGCTTTTGCCGCTGAGGTAAATCCCCAGCCTGGTTTTTTTTTTTTTGTTTTATACAATGGAGTATTACTTAACTATAACCAAAGATAAATTTTAGGCTTTTATAGGTAAGTGGGTGCAACTAGAGACCATACTCATAAGTGAAATAAATCAGACTCATATGTGTAAACATCATATTGTCTCCCTAGTGTAAGAACCTGAAAGAATAAATAAAATCTGGAAGGTAAAATAGATATTGTGAAAGGGAAAGAAACTGCTCAAAAGGAAAGAGCAACTAGAATGAGAGGAAAGAGAAAAGAAAGACGGAAGGAAGAGAAAAAAATATATGTAGATATAGATACACAAGATAGCTGAGATAATTGTCCTACTAATTCTTATTGGTTTACTAAAAGGAACAGTTCATGTTTAATTGTTTGATCAATCTTACATGCCTATATCTGGTTATCTGAGTAACCACTCTGAAGATAACAATATGTAACCAAATAACCATTGTTAATTTCTTATTACTTTGTTTTAAAACTCTGTATCGTTTTCATTGCTTTTATGGTGTTTTGTTTATGTCTTTGTTTTTGTTATTTTGTTTTTGTTCTCTTTAAAATAAAAAAGAATCTCTTTGTTAAAAAAAGGAAAAAAAGAATCACTTCTGGCGGGTAACTAGCTATGTCAGGAGCAGGAAAGCACACTACTGTGGGTACTGTGTGAGCACTCTGCTTGTGCTCCTCTGCGGTGAGACTGAGTTTTCCCATTTCATGTCCCTCAAACTGCTTCATCAGTTATGCCGCCCACTTGTCAGATTCCCCTGGGAGGTAAAAAGTTGCTGACATTTAGGCTGGGAATAAATTCGCTCTTCCTGTATCAATTTGAATAAAATTGGCATATTAACAACATCGCAGCCCCAGTCCATGGAAATGGAATGTATTTTCATTCATTAAGCTTTAATTTTCCTCTCAAAAGTATTTGGAAGCTTTCAGTGGAGAAAATGTGCAGCTATCTTATTGCACTAATTTCTAGATAGTGACTTTGCTTTCTTTATTTGGTTTCAAGATATTTATTGTTACCAAGAGGAAAAATATGCTTCGCTGTTCTGTATGGCTCTAAAATGGAATCTTTAAGCTCTGCTTTACTGTTGGGGAGCACCATCATATACGCAACCTGTCATCCGCCAAGAGGATGTTATGCAGCACGTGATTGTGTACGTAATTTTCCTAGAAGAGAGCTGACTTTTATTCCAGGGGCTTCAGTACTTTGAGACCCCCTGTGGGGCTCTGTGCAGGGCACATCAGCTTCCCCTCTCTCTTGAAGGTGTGTCCTTCCTCAAACAGTGGGTTCCTGCTGGAGTTTGCCTTGAGATCTAGAACATCCCACGCGCTCCTCTCCGGTCAGACTCTGGAGACCCCATGGCTCCTGGACCTGCGCTCTTCCCAGCATCTTCCTGCGGGGCCAGAGGCTCCTCTCCAAGTTGCTGATTCAGGAAAAGTCACCCGCAGTGTGTCCCCTTCTCACAAATGCGCCCCTACCAGCAGCCCCCATCCCAGTTGGATGGGAGGCTCACACCTTGAGTCTGTCTCCCCTGCTGGGGAGCCGGCCGTGCCCTCTGCTGGCTGTCCGCCACCACCATGGTGCACATGATGGCCCTTGTGCTTCAACAGGAGAATCCCTTGACGGTTAATGGAACTGTGCCCATTTACAACTTATTATGACAAATGAGAACTCTGGGAGAAAGAGGCCTTGGGATTTCAGGAAATCTATGGTTGGAGCACGACAGAAAAATGGAGTTAACTGCAATGGCAGGTACGAAGGGTGGAAGCTGGCTGCCCCAAGGAAGGGCACACCTTCCTCAGTGCAAGCCACAGTGGCACCAGCATCACCCCGGTCTTCGTGAGATAAAACCTGAGAGACCCAAGCTTGATTGTTACCATGCTTCACCTCCTCCTTTGGCTGAAACAAAGACAGAAGAATTCTGAGCTTATGCAAGGCAATTTTGCTCCAGAGACCTGAGAAGAGCTTATGGAACCCCTCGTCCATGGGCTGAGAGTTACCCACAGGGGCTGCAGGCTGCTGAGCTCCACGCTCCCGCACAGGGGTCACGGGAATG